GTGGGTTAGACCAGTTGCCAAGAAAGTGTGTCCACCCTTTTGCACCCGAGTTTTGATCTTCCCTTCAGAATATCACTTTATTATTTATTTTTCATAAAGTAGGGCAAATTTGAACACCATAGTAGTTTTGATAAGAGTTGGGTAAAAAATCCGACCGGAACTTGATATAATACGTTACTTCATCAAGTTGCGAACATAAATTTGAGTCCAAGCATCACTATTGGGCTAGCGCAGATTGTTCACTGTATTGGGCTTACAGTAGAAACGATGGCCCATCATGTACTAGATTGCGACTCTCTGGTCCGATCATTGAGTCTCACAAAACGGCTCTATCTCTGTTTTACATGTGTCAGCGAAGGAGAAACGGATAGCTGACATGGCTTCGCTTCAGCTTCATCTTCTTCCACTCTCAACCGGTCCATCCAGTTCCCGGTTCAGACGCAGTCCGGTCCGATCCTCGACCGAGCGCCAGTCGCTCTTCAACCGCATTGCCCCTGTCTACGATAACGTAAAGCTTTTGCTCATTTTACTTCAAGTTGCAGTGTCGCTTTTCTTTGTAAATAGTTAATGGGTCTTGATATTTTTCTCCTTTTCTTTTAGTTGAATGATTTGCTGAGCTTGGGTCAGCACCGAATATGGAAAAGAATGGCAGTGTCCTGGAGTGGGTAAAATTCAAATATATATATTTTTTGGGCTCAGTTGGTATTTTTTGATATTTGGTTATCTGAAGTTCCATTTTTTTAAGAGAAATTCTTTTTGGGACAGAGCAAAAAAGGGAGACAGAGTGTTGGATTTGTGCTGTGGAAGTGGGGATTTGGCGTTTCTCTTGTCTGAGAAAGTTGGGTCCAGTGGCAAGGTTTGTTCATTGTTGTTTGTCATACAATTGATGTTACCAAAGTTTGGTGCTTTTTCCATGAATCTGAGCTGATTTTTAAGACTGAGATTGTAATTTGAACGCTGGCAGGTGATTGGTCTCGATTTCTCGAAAGAGCAGTTATCAGTTGCTTCTTCGCGGCAAAAGTTGATGTCAAAAGCCTTCTACACGAACATTGAGTGAGCACTGGTAAATCTAGTGGTCAATCAACTAAAAAAGTTTTGAACTTGAATTCAGGATGATCAATCATGTTATGCATTGCATCTTAGGTGGGTTGAAGGTGATGCAATTGATTTGCCATTTTCTGATGGTCACTTTGATGCCATCACTATGGGTTATGGTCTGAGAAATGTAGTAGACAAACATAAGGCCATGCAGGAAATGTTTAGAGTTTCAAAAGCAGGTTCCATTCTCTCTCTCTCTCTCTCTCTC